GGCCCTCTGGAGCATGCTGCTGTCAATGCATAATGCTGAGCAAGTCAAACGCCTGGAGCAAAGCGTTCTCCCTGTCTTGAAAAACCACATGAAAAGGGAAGTGAGACCAGTAGTGGGAATACAGGGATCCTGTTGTATGCAGGGTAAACCCAATTAGTCTGTGCACCCTGACAAAAGTAGAAGTGAGCCTTTTAGCAAGGGGTAGTTAATCTTCTTTAGAAAAACTAAGCAGGGACTACCAGTGGTGTAGAAGTTGGTGAGGTACTGTTGAATATCTCTAAAGCCACTTACAGGTTCAAAGAATGAACAAGGCCATTGCCAGCCTTATTATTTTGATTTGTTTAATGAAAATACTTTACTCATTCCATAGATGTTATGCTTTGATAAGGTAATTGTTCCAGGGCACAGCTTACATCCTATTAATACTGCACTCTGGGCAAATTAAACCTGACCCAGTGGAGAGGCAGATCCGAGGAACCCAGTGGTGTTGTGACACTGGCTTTTGTCTGGCATTCTGACGGGGAGCGAAGTTGGAGGAGTTTTGTTCTTGGGTTTTTTCTTGCTGCCCCTGGGTGGGGGAAGAATTCCTGTTGCATGCACAAATTGACAGCATGGCTAACTGGGCTCCCTGCGAAGCTGCAGGGTCTGTGTGGAAGATTTGTACCGGTGCATGAGCATTTTGCTCTAGGAAAAAAATGCAAACTGCTTTAGGAACAGCCTTGGAGGTAAGAACTGTTTCCTTCCCCACTTCAGGGCTTCAGAAGAGCCCATGGTCTAAATGCACGGGACTTTAGCACTGACGTTAAGAGCATCTCTTGCAAATAAACGGAGGCTTGTTCCCCAAGGAAGAAGAGGGGAGGCGGAGGAAGAAGGTCTGGAGAGCAGCATCGCATTCACCAGGCTATTGAGGGGCTGCACTCAAGCAGAGCATCCAGACTTTAGCTTTCTGCTCCCTGACCTACCTCTGCTTCCACCCCCCCGTAGCAAAAAGCAGATCTCTGCAGCAGATGTCGTTTGTGTGTCCCTTCGAGGAGCTGTCTTGCCTGAGGGTCGTGGATATCTGTGGGTGCTCAGGCTTTCCTCAGACCTGCAACTTTGCTTGTGCAAAGGTGGGCACTTCAGCCTGCGGGGCTGCAGGAGGCTCGAGCGGGAGCGGGCACCAAATGCCTGCACCCAAACTGCATCTGCTTCATCTGGCAGCTCCTGGGCTTTCATGCAAAAAAAAAAAAAAAATTAATTTTGGTGATGTTGAGCATATGTGCATGTTAACTTTGCCTCCCTGGGAAGGAGCTTGTGAACAGCACTCCGCTCTTCCAGCTTGGAGCTGCCTTTTCAAACAAGCAGCCTGCTTTCCTGAGCCTGCCTTGTTGAGCTCTGAAAATATTCCTTCTCTCCTCTCCGGGTTTTCTGACAAAACAAACACTTCAGCCTGAATGTGCTACTCTGCCTTTCTTGATTTTTTTTTTCCAATGGTCATTTTAAAAAATGCGGAAGTCCCTCAGAAATATTTTTTTTAAATCCCCGGTTTTCAAGGTGGATTTATCGCCCTTTAAAGAGAGATTTATTGGATAATCGCTTAAAAAAATAATGCTTATTACGTTGAGATCTCAAGTGGAAAACCTTCCCACATTAGTAATCTTCTTGTAATTGCAGAAGGTAGCAACTTTTCATTAAATAATTCATCCCCGGGCGTTTTTTTTTTTTTTCTCTTTTGCATCCTACTTGTTGGGGGGGGGGGGAGTCGCCATCAAATTCTTCAGGTTTCACTGGCTGAACAGGCGAGCCGCATCTGACTTAGCTTCTAAGCAGCTTTCTCCTTTCTAGATCTGTATCTCTGTATCGCTCTAGAAATTGAATGGCATCGTGAAGGGGGGAAGGAAAAAAAAAAAAAAAAAAAAAAAAGAAAAGAAAGAAAAGAAAAGAAAAAAGACTTTCTTAGAGCATCGCAATTAACACCGCGTCGTGGGATCACGACTGGCGGGGCGGGGGCTCCTCCTGGGCCTCCTCCTGGGCGACCTGGCCGCGGCTTTCCGCAGGGCTCTGCCCTCCGGGGATCTTTTTACCCCCGGATCCAGCCCCCTCCCCTGGCAGCGGTAGGCGGGTGAGGCAGGGGGCGAGATGCGCCCCCCAAAAAAACTCCAACCCCATTCCTTGTGCTTACGAGTTGGCTGATTTACAAGTCGCTTCTCCAAAGGGAATAGCGAAATACGGCATTTATCAACCAGAAACATACCTTAGGAAACCATGGAGATGCGCAGGGAAATGGGGGAGCGGGGAGGAATTCTGCCCTGCTCCTTTAAGCGGTTACTTGCTCCTTTCCTGATTGATGCTTGTTTTAATCTATTGCTGCTCCCAAGAGAGAAAAAAAAAGAAGGGGTCTCTCTTTTGTGGGCATGGGTAATGAAGCAGAGCACTGGCCCAAGAAAAAAAAAATAAAGGGGGGGGGGGGTGTTAAAAAAAAAAACAAGGGGGATCCCACTTTCTTAGCTCGCTGCCTGGGCGCGCAGGTAACACCCCCGGCCCCCAGAGCGGCATGTGAAATCGCCATTTCACCCCTGCACACTCCTTAATTGTTGGAAAAATGCTTTGTGAAGTCGCTCGCCGCCAGGAGTGCCGCCCCCAGCCCGCCTGTCCCCCCCCCCCCACCCCCCCCAGCCCGAGAAGCAACCCCGGGGGCTGTCGCCGCGTCCCCAAAATTAACTCAGGCGGCTCCCGGGGGCGTGCGGGAGGAGAAAGTGAAGTTGGGGCCGAAACCGTCCAATCTTCACCCAATTCCCCCCCCGTCGCACCCGGGAGGGGTTTGTGACCCGGGGCCGCTTCCCTTCTCTTCCCCCGGTGCCGGCGGAGCAGAAACGTTTAATTTTCAACTTTATTCCCAGGCTCTGTCCATCTAACCATATGAAAGGCAAATAATTGAATTACAGCTGCGCTGGAGGAATGCGGCTGAGAAGGGCTCCAAATTGGTCCCTCTCCGCCCTCTCCCCCTAGCTGCCCGTTATTTTTGTGCCTAAAACTTTGGGAATTGGCGCTTTTGGGGCAGAGGGGGGTGAAGCGTCCTTATTTTCGTTTGCCGGAGCCCCAACCGCTGGGCTGCGCCGAGATTAGGAGACTTTAGGAGGAACTTGACACCTTGGAAAGAATTTCAGCTTTTTTTTTTTTTTTTTTTTTTCCCCGAGGATTTTGGGGGACGAAGTTTAAACGTGGTAATGCGATGAAACCAAAAAAAAAAATACAAATATTAATATAAAATTGGGGTTCACAGCGAGGCGGGGGAGAGGAAGAGTGGGAGCAATGAGGATGCGGCTGGGCTGGGAAGGGTCTGCCCGTGCTTTAATTTCAAAGCAAACGCTGCAGAAGACAGCACGGGAGTGAAAAAAAAAAGAGGGGGGGGGGGTAATTAGGGGTGGCGGTGCCCTCAGGGGATAATTTAGGGACCACATTTTGGGTCCAGACAGGTCAGAAGCAGCGCTGGCTGGCTGCTTCATTTCCCCCCAGGACGCTTTTTTTTTTTTTTTTTAAAAAGGAGGGAAAAAGAGAAGTTTCCAGCGGTTTGCACGGAAAGTCCTTTTACAGCTGCAAACAAAAGGGTTCGCGAGCCCTGGCGTCATGCCCCGCTGCGAGGAGGATTCCGGCCCCCTCTCCCACTTTTTTGGGGGGAAAACACTGCCGATTTGGTCGGCCCCGGGAGCCGCCCTGGGCACCTGGAGCGAGCGGCAGAACCCGGCCCCTTCGGCTCCTCCTGAAAGGACCCGGCTGAGCAGCCCCGCTTAATTAAGGCTGTTAATGAGGGAGGCGCGCGGGGAGCTCGGGGGGAGGGGGGCACTCCCTTTGCTCAGGGGAAGGGCAGGTGCGACCCCTCCCCAGTCCATGGGGAGTGGGAACAACGGGCAAGACACCCCCCTGAAAGGATACAAGCCCCCCTCAAAGGGTAGGAGTCCCCCTCAAACCGGGGGTGTGAGGGCTCGGGGGGAGTATTTTTTTGAACCTGGGGCAGGATCGGCCCCGCTGGGAACCGCAGGGATGCTCCGGCTGGTACGCGCCCAACTTTTTTTAGGCAAAACCCCTTTTTTTTTTTTTTTTCCTAAAGTTTCTCCTCCCTGCTTTCACCCCAATGTATTTAATAATAATAATAAAAATAAAAATAAAAAAAAAGGAGGGGGGAGAGCCCCAGCTTTCCATCAAAAGGAAACCAAGCCTAGTAATGAATAATAATATATAAAAAAATAACCCGAGCCCGTAGATTTGCCTGCGCGCTGGGAAGCTGCTGCCTCTTATTGGTCCCTCGGCCCCGCCGCGGTACCCCCTTCCCCGGTGATGAATAAAAGAAAGGAGCTGGAGCCTATCACAGCGCTGGGGCTCGCTCTTCCTCCCCACCGACCCAAGTTGGGCTCTTTAACAACTTCCAAACCTTCCCTCTGACACCCCCCCTTCTCCCCTCCGGGTCCCCCCCCCCCCCCTCCCCCGCATCCCCGTAGCGACAGGCACCAACCACCAAAAAAAAAAAAAATAAAAAACGGGGGAGAAAAAAAAAAAAAAGCAGCAACAACGAAATAAGGGGGAAAGTCGGCTCCCCCCCCCCCCCCTCTCTGCCCCCCCCCCATCCCTAAGCCCAGCCCAGCACCGAGGCAACTTTGGATGTGTCTGCTTCTCCCAGCAGCCTGGGTTACATTCCTCCGGAGCGCCCGCTCAGGCCGGTCGTGACATAGCCCTAAAACTTTAAGAGGAATTTCTGGTGGGTGAGCCCTCCCCCAACCTCCCCCCCCCCTCCTTGTTATTATTATTATCATCATCATCATCATCATTATTTCGATTCTTATCCTTTTTATTTTTGGAGCAATGATTTCTCCCTTGTTTTGCAGCCGCGGGCTGGAAGAGAGGAACCCTTCAACCTCCCCGGAGAGGGCGACGAGAGGCGACCCCGCAGCTCCCTCCCTTCGCCCGGGGCTCGGGGGTGCCCCCGGTTCGCAGCGGAGCCCCTCCACCGCCCGGCCTGCCCCGCCATGGCAGCTCTGCCCGGGACGGTGCCGCGGATGATGCGCCCGGCTCCGGGGCAAAACTACCCGCGCACCGGCTTCCCCTTGGAAGGTAGGTCTGGGACACCCCCCCCCTCCCCGCAATGCCTATTTTCTCTTTTTTTTTTTTTCCTTTTATTTTTTTCTTTTTTTTTTCCTGCTTTTTTTTTTTTTTTTTTCTGGTGGATTTTCACAAAGGGGGAGCCGGGCTGGGTGGGCTCGAAGTTCAACTTAAATCACAGGGTCCCGAGCCGAGCATCCGACTCCTCTCCGCCGTGTAGCCGCTTTCCCACGCCGTGCCCTTCCCCGCGCAGCTGTAGGGCTCCATCTCTGCGCCTTTCCGAGCTTTGCGTCCCCAAATTCCCTCCCCTGTTAAAACAGTTACAGGCAGCATGCGGGTTTTGGGGAGCACGTTCCGATATTTTCTTTCGACCCCCTAAAAAAGTCCCAGCCCTAAAGAGATAAGAAAAATAGAAGGAAAAAAAAAAAAAAAGAGAGAGAAACAACCGAAGTGATTGTTTCCAACTTTTCCCGAGGAAAGCAGAACCCAAAGCCCAGAGCATCTGCTGGAGCCGGGAGCAGACGCGCGGCTCCAGCGCGGAGCGGGCAGCGGTGTGGCCTTGGCCGGGGCTGGTGAGGGGAAACGGGGGGGGACTTGGGAGCTGTCACCTCGCGAAGTGTCATCCCCGTGTCATCCCCACCTCGCAGAGCTCCCAACTTCCCCGGTCGTCTGCTTTCCCTTTGTGTGGGCACCCGGCACCCGGGTTATTATTTCTGCCCAAGGCTGTGCGGGGGAATAAAATAAAAGAAAGCAAAATTAGAGCAGGAGCCCTTTCCCCGCATTTATTAACCGGGAGAATTTCATACAGACCGTGATCAAGTGGCGAAACTCAAACCTGTGGAAAGCCACGCAGGCTGCAAAACATACAAGCTGGGGGGATTTGCTGAAGTGCTTTTCTGTAGCAAATGAAGTAAAACAGACGGCAAGGGAAAGGATCAAAGGATTACAACAATATTTGCACAACATGACTGGGAATAATGAAAAGAGAGAGCGGCCGGCGGTTTTAGTGCCTCTTGAATGTAAAATTGGCCACTCGAGTGTTATCTGTCGATAATGATATATCCAGGGAGTGCTGGCCAAGTGACTTTGAATTAGTGGTGCATGATTCTTGTTAAATCGCGAGGCAATTTCTGGAATCGACTTTTCTTTGTAAAGAGAAAATCACCCCTTCGCCCCCTCCAGCCTTTCTGCAAATTACGCAGCTGAGTTCTTCCTTTCTTCCTTTTTTTTTTTTTTTTTTTTTTTCCTTCCCTAATTTCGAACCTGTGAAATCGTATTAATCTGCTAGATCCACCTCGGGAGATGCGGAGCACACCGGGGAGGGGAGCGCTGCTCGGGAGCGGCTCCGGCCGCGCAAGGTGCCGGGGACGCGGCGGGGGCTCCGCGCCCATCGCGGCTCCTCGAACGTGCCTAAAACCGGACCCAAAGCCCGGCAAAACCCCTCCGGGGTATTTAGAGGGGTTATTTACAAAAGTTTGCCTGCAAACAGATATCCGCCTGCCCGTAACTCGGAGCGAGGAGCGGAGAGCGCCTTAGTGGGAAGTGGGAACTTTTGGGTTTGTTTGTTTGTTTTTAGCTTTGCCATGCAGTTTTAAAAATCTTTTCCTATTTCCACCGGCGGTCTGGTTTAAAACGTACGCGTGAAATGCCAAAAATACGTACAGACGCATAAGCACCTCGGGGAGAGCAGGGAGATGGGGGAGTGCGGCTCCGGGACCCTTCATTTTCGGCCCCTCGGTGGGAAAACTTTCCCGTTTTCCCAGGGCACGGCGTTAGGGATGCGGGACAAAAGCCGAGGCCAAGGGCTAGGAGCGGTTTCTGCCCGGCTTTAGGGCGCAAAAGCCGGGGGCGCAAACTAGAGGTGCGGGGAGGGACGCGCCGCGTTTGGCCGGATTCTCCCAATTTTTCTATTTTTTATATTTTTTATTTTTCCGCGCTCCAGTGTCCACCCCGCTGGGCCAGGGCCGGGTGAACCAGCTCGGAGGGGTTTTCATCAACGGGCGTCCTCTGCCCAACCACATCCGCCACAAAATCGTGGAGATGGCTCACCACGGCATCCGGCCCTGCGTGATATCTCGGCAGCTGCGCGTCTCCCACGGCTGCGTCTCCAAAATCCTCTGCAGGTACCAGGAGACGGGCTCCATCCGGCCCGGGGCCATCGGAGGCAGCAAGCCCAGGGTGAGTGCAAGGTGGGGGCCGCGCTACAACTTGGGCCGGTGACCCCCCCACACACACCTCCCCAAACTCCCCGAGGTTAGGAAGCATCGGGAGGGGGGTTTTTGGATTTTGGGACGGGGAGCGGTAGAGGGAAGGTGGAGGGGAAGGGGCTGTGAGCAAGCGGCAGTTTGCAGGCTCGGCTGGGGAGAGAGCCCGGTGCTGGGCGATGAAGAAATAAATGAACGCGGGATTCCCCGTGCAACAAGTGGCCACGTTCAAGGGTTCGCTTCAGCCCCCGTGCGCGGGGAGGGGGTGAGCCGGTTTCCTTCAGTAAGCTATAGACCGACGGGTCCCCTCTCCCCCAAAAGCATCCCTCACACCCTCTCCTTCCCCTCTCCGGGCTCACGATAAATCCATGCTTGCTGTCTCCTTGTCCCCCTGAGACTTTAGTTTTAAGGGGGGTGAGTGGACTCCACAGCTGTGGGAGAGGAGTGCCTTCTCCCAGCTTTGTTTTCCTCCTTTCCACCCCTCAAATACCTATTCTTGACCCCAAAACTATCGGCCTGGCTTAATTTTTTCAATTAAAAGGTCTTTCTCTCTCCCCCCTTCCCTCTCTCTGCGCTTGCACACGCGGGCACACACTGGTGGCCATTGACCACAAAAGCAGGTTGCGACTCCCGACGTGGAGAAGAAAATCGAGGAGTACAAGCGGGAGAACCCCGGGATGTTCAGCTGGGAGATCCGGGACCGGCTGCTGAAGGATGGGCACTGCGACCGCAGCACTGTGCCCTCAGGTGAGAAGGCAGCCTGGCCAGCAGGGTCCCCACGGCCAGAGAGAGTTGTTTTGGGGCATGGTTATCTCCAGCTGACACCAAATGCATTCCCAGGGGCTGCAGGCATCCTCTCAGCCCTTACTTTGAATGGGAAGGGGGGAAATGATTGCCCCAAGTAAACCCTGCTGCAGCAAATAAGCACAAGGTGGAGGTGAGGAGTGTTTGCGCCCTGGATGCGCAGAGCTACTGGGGAAAAAAAAAAAAAATGCAATAAAGATAATTTCCCCAATTTATCTCAGCTCTCTGGAAAGTACCAGGAGTCCTCACCTTGGGCAGAGCATGCATGGGGCAGGCCCCAAACTGGGGGTCAAGGGGATCCCACTGGATCTTTGCCCCACTCGACTCGGTGGGAGCATGTGTGCAGCTGTGCTTCTCTCAGTCCGGGCTTCCCATCACCCCCAGGAAGCAGTGCTGTACCCCAGTCTTGGGCTGTGCCGAGGGTCTGGTCATTTTTTTTAGGTCCTGGCTCCTCTGGCTAAAAGTTTCCCTCTGCTCTGGGGAGGCTGAGCCTCCCCTTCAGGGCACAGTTCCCCCAGAGTGAGGTCCAGAGGAAGGCCTGGGGCTGGATCCAGCTGGTGAGGCCTCACCAGGTACCCCATAGGGTGCAAGCCAAATCCCCAACACAAAGCTGTTGGTAACCCTTGGGGGAGAACATCCTGGGACACCCTGCACGCAGCCCCCTGGGGTTCTGGGACTTCTGGGTGGAGGATGAGGAGTGCATCCAACCTGGGGCATCCATGCCATCGGCTCGTGGCACCTCAGGGGAGAAGCCAGAAGCACTGGGGCAGGTGTGGCAGAGCAGGCAGGTGCAGCGCGCCCCTGGAAAAGGGGGTGAGCTGCCCTCTGTGGGGGCTCCTGCATGTCTGGGAGGCTCTGGCTTGGGTTTCCCCACCGGCTCCCGCGTTGCATTCCCAGGCAGCTTATATTTGCCTTCTTGTCTTTGACTGTCTGAGGTTTAGTGAGTTCGATTAGCCGTGTGCTACGCATCAAATTCGGGAAGAAAGAGGAAGAGGAGGACTGCGACAAGAAGGAGGAAGATGGGGAAAAGAAGGCCAAGCACAGCATAGACGGCATCCTGGGCGACAAAGGTTAGAGGCGGCCGTGCGTGCCCTGGGCTGGGCTGGAGGGGACTGGTGGGCCCAGGGACATGTCCCTGCCCGCTCAGATCGATAACAAATAGGGGCTGGCCCCAGAGCCCTCTATTTTTGCCTTTCCAGAAAGGTCTGGTGTCAGAGTCAAGGTGCGGTGCTGCCCTGGCAGGGTCCAGTGGTACCCAGCCCCTTGGGGTCCGGATGCTTTTCCCATCCCTGGGAGGAAGAGTTGTCAGTGTTTTGCTCACAGCTGCTCCAGGTCAATTATTTATAAAGGGGGAAAGAGATGGCCGGGGGAGGCATCTCTGATTCCTAAATGAATTTGTTAAACAGATTTCTCTCCTGCTCTCTAAGTGGTCCCCTGAAACTCCGGCTGACAGTTGACCGATTTGGCCAATCAATATCAATTAGGGAGCCCAGGATGCGCGCTGCTGTGGGGCTGTGGTGGGAGCCACCAGCACCGGGCAAGGGGGGGCTGTGGATGGAAGCACGCGGGGGGCTGCCCCCCTGAGTGAAATAATAAATAGGGATAATAAAGCTGGGGCTGCTGATGAAAGGCCTGAGGCCAGTTGCGGAGCCGGGGGAGAACTGGTGACACCTCCTACGGCTGGTGCTTTCCTCTCGTGGGATGAAAAATCAAACTTTTTCAAGCTCCTTGTGCCTGGGGAAATGTGGGGTTGGGGGCGAGGCGCAGCTGGAGCAGGCCGTGTGGCTTAGGTAGTTTTAGTTTTGGCAAGTTGGGGATGGGGGGCAGGGGGAGATGGCTCCCCAGCCCCCCACAAAGAGGAAAGGTGGTGTTTTTAGTGGATGTGATTGAAGCTTGTCAAACAGGGGGAAACTTAAAGGAGAGGGAGGCAGTGGTTCAGGCACAGAATTTTATTCCCTCGTGTCAAAGAGGTTTTGCTATTTCTCTTCAAAATTGGTGGCAAAATGGCGATGGCACAGGCCCGTCAGGGTCGCACTGGTGTTAAAGCGGTGGGAGTTTGGGGAAACTTCGCGACATCGCCGACGGAGCGGGCACAAAGTCCTTCCTGCGTGGAAACGCTCCCACGTCCACGCGTGGGAAGCAGGGCGATTGCTTGTGGAGTTCCTGACTGCAAAGTTTTTCCCCAATTTCAGACAATGCGGGTGAGCGGGGAATATTGAAGTGCGGTGAATTTTGGGCAGAGAAAAGCTTCTCCGTGTCACCATCAAACGTTACTGGGAGTTTTAAATGAAGGTGCACAAAAGGGGGTTCTTTAAGGGTCCGATCCTTTTTTTTTTTTTTTTTTTTTTTTCCTCCAACCTTGAAGATGAACTTCACTTACAAAGACCTTTAAGTCTATTGAACCTTTATAAGCAAAAGATTCCCGGCCACAAAAGCAAACATTAGAAGAAAAAAAAAAAAAAAGAAAGAAAAAAAAGAAAGAAAGAAAAAGAAAAAGGGGAAAAAAGGGGGAAAAACCCTAGGCTGCCTTAAAAATGGAGTAAAGGGATGGGGGAGGGAGGGCTTGTCTATTCTCATTCAAAATTCTGCAAGGAGGAGAAAAAGTTTGGACAAAGGGCCAAGGAAGGGAAGAAAGGGAGATAAATTATTCAAAACTCCCTGCTGTTAGATAGTTTTGTAATATTATAGGACCGTCTGTTGGAAAAAGGATAGCCGTTGGACGTTGCAAAATGTTGCTTGTGATTTGGAAATAGGCGATGCTCATTTGCAAATCGGGTCCATTGTGTGTGAGGAGAGCTCCCCCCGTATCACGCCGCGGTTTATTTCTTTTTATTTCGGGGGGGAGCTTTGGGGGCTTTAAAGATTTATTTTCTTCGGGTCCCGTAGCTTCAAAAAGAAAAAAATTGGAACTGCGGGATGATTTTTTTTTTTTTTTTTCCCCTGTTCGTGTCCCCCCCACCCCTCCCTCCCAAAATCACCACGACCGCAGTAGCTGGAGGCTTTTTTATTCCGTAATAATATGCAGAATTGCGTGTCAACAAGCAAAACAGAACGGGCTCCGTTCCTGAGCGGGTAATATCGCAGACAAAACACGAGCCCCCAATTTTAGGAACCCAACCCGTTTGCAGTCGAGTGCTAATTTGGGCAAATTCGGGTGCGGGAGCCCGCGGAGCGCCGCGCTGCCCATCCCGAGAGATAACCCCCGAATTACGTGCGCTTGGCTTTCTTTATTTGGTTGATTTTTGTTGAGGTTGTTGTTGTTTTTCCTGCCCCGTAATGATGCCGGGACTCTGCGGGTTGGGATAAAATCCTCCCCAAAAGCCCGAAGCCGGGGGGGAGCCACAGCCGCCGGAGGAGCGGAGCCAGGGGGTGCCGGGGAGCGTTGGGATCCGCCGCTGCCTCGGGACCGGGAGCGCTAAAAAAATAATCAGAATACAGCCCAGTCCCTCCAACCAGTGTGCATTTCGAAATGTTTTAATAATAGCCCCAATTAAGGTAAATGATGACCGTTCAACTTGTAAATCACTTAGAGGCGGGGAGTGCGCGCTGTGTATTTTGCTCTTTTTTTTTTTTTTTTAAATCTGAAATAACAATACGCTTCGGAGGTCTCTTCCCCCGCACCCGACCAATTTATTTTATTGTATTTTTTTTTAAGGGGAGGGAGGGCGAGGTTTGCCACAAACCCACAAAACCACCAACGCGTTCTTGACACTTGTTCCCCAGCTCAGCTTTTACTGAGTGGCTCTGTGGGTTTTTGACTATTACTATTTTTTTTTTTTAACACCTTTTCATTATTTTCGCGGATGGGGGCGGCACGGGAGAAGGAGAAAGAGGAGAGGGGAAACTTTGTTTTGGCCTTTTTCCTCTTGACAAACGCCTTTGCTCCATTTGCGGGTTCTCCTTGCGGGGAGCCAGGGGAAGACAGCCCTAAATGCTCTCTCTTTTTAAGTGTTAAAGAAAGCTTCCACCCTGCGCCTGTTTCTTTCTATCGTCTGCTTGGCATTTAATAATGTTAAGACTTATTAGAGCTGGTAATGAAAACTGTGGCTGTTGAATAGGGAGCTGTGTTGGAGAAGGGTGTAATAGCTCCAAGGCATGCTAAGAAATGTATTTATCCCCAATCAGTACTCACTCTCTGAGTTCCCAGCACAAACGTTAAGTTGAAGGGTTTTAAGGCAGATTAAATTGAGCCTTTATTTCTTTGCACTTTCATCTTTAAACGGCTCACTCCAGCTAGCCCTGGGCATATATTCATGAGGCTTCACTTTATTTTTTATTTTTTTTTATCCTTGTTAAGACCGAGTTATTATTATTTGGTGTTGTTGTTATTTATTATGACTGTTGGGGTTTATTAGGGAGGGTCACGTCTGGGTGATGCGATGCTCCCCCGCACCGCGAGATGCGAGGTGGGGAGAGTGAGGTGGGGGGGGATAATTTGGGCAGCCCCAAATTAAAGGGGGGCAAGGGGGGAGAGCCTAGGCCCGGCTGCCCTCAGGGGAGGCTCGGGGCTGGAGCTGCAGGGGCAGGCGGGACTGACGCGCGAGTTTTCATATTTTTTAAAAAATATATATTTTTAATTATATATATTTTATTAGTGTCCTCCTCTGCTTTATTTCTCTTGAGCTCCGCTTTATTGCACGGGGCTTCCAGCACCGAGCTCTGCCCCATTTTTTTCCCTTTCCTCCCCCCCCCCCCGGGTCAGCGTGGCAATATTAGGTGGGTGCCTTGCGAGGTCGGGAAGGCCGCGTGTGGAAGAAGGGACTGGAAGAGGATTTTGGTTTATTGGGGGCTGGAAACGTGAACAGGTGGGAGCAGCAGCGGGGGGCTGCTGGGGTGCACCCCCCGGTACTAACGGTGGCATTTGGTGCCCACCGGTGCAGGGAGGTTCGGGGTTTTTTATTTTTTTAGGGGTGGGAGGGAGGTTCGGGTATGCGCACAGGTCCTGCCAAATTTAATTAGGGTCAGGGCTGTGAATGGATACACAGCAAGGGTGCGGGCTGGGGGGGCTGGGGGGGGCTTCCCTTGCTTTCACACCTGGGAAGTGGCTTTGTCCCCCTGAGCCGGGGGGGAGGGGTAGCCCCTTTATCAGCAAACAATCTGCATCGATTTAAAACCAACAAGCGCTTTCTCTGTAAATGTGTGTTTAGGAGGGAAATGGGGGGGAACAGACACTTCATCAAATCAAGGGATTACGAAAGGTTGGCAATCTAATCAAACAGAGACCAGGCGGGATTTGTGAGTGTTGCGAGTGGGATCAGCTCTAATAATGGGGGGCAGGAAAGAGATAGGGTAGTGTCAAGCAATTCATTGGCTTTAGGCTCAGTTATTCTGTGCATATTTCAGGGAGAGAGAGAGGAGAGGGGAGGGAAAAGGAGAAAAAAAAAATACAGGGAGAGGGAGAAGGAAGGGGGGCTGTATGTGAGCACACACGGAGCTTACATGTCACAAAAAAAGCTGAGACAAATGAGGTACAACAATAAACACAGATAACAATTACAAAGGCAAACAGTGGCTTTTGGGAACAAGTAGCTGCAGAACCTGGTCTACATAAACAAAGTAGGCAAATGTTTGCAAGATAAACTCCTTCCTAAATCAAGTGTGACGGGAAGGAGAGAAGAGAGGAGGAGAGATAAGGTTGGAGAGGGGAATAAACGAGTATAATCTAATACAAGACGTTTTAAAAAACAAACTTAAGACAAGGATGCGGGGAGAGAGGTTCAATTATACACTAGGAAGTGAAATAATATAAGGGAGACGTTTATGATCCGGGGCTTGCTTGCTTGTTTGTTTTCTGCTTTTCCCCCCCCTTCTTTTCGGAGGGAGAAGGGGTCGGGTTGTGGGGCTGGGGAAACAACCGCGGCTGCGGGCAGGGGAGCAGGCGGGGGGCAGGAGCTGGGCTGGCAAATGCAGGGGGAAGGGGAAAGGGAAGGAAATACGGGGCCGAGCCAGGGCTGCCCGATTTGAAGGTGGATGGCAGACTGTGCGTGAGCCACGGGGAGGGATAGAGAGCGGCTATTTTGCCGTTCGTAATCGAGTGGGGGAGATGGATGCCGCGATAGAGGAGGGGAGG